ATAATCTTTTTAGGTCAACCCCAACCTTTCTTAACACATGTCGAATCTAAAGCATCTACTCTTCTAATGAGATCATCAGATGGTTGGTATTTACTGTGATCAGATGCTCGACATTTAATGTGATCTAATGGGATCATCAGATGGTTGATATTTACTGTGATCAGATGCTCGACATTTAATGTGACCAAAAGTCTAAGATGACTCTCTCTAAACTTGTCTTCCACTAGAGATATACTAACCTTTTCACGAATACATTCATTTTGCATTTTGACTCTTAAGTGTCAAGCCACTCATCCACCTAAACATTTTCATCTCTACAACACTTAACTTAGTTTTATGCTTCTCTTTTAAATGCCAACATTTTACACCATAAAGCATTGCAAGCCTCAACCCCACCTTAAAAATTTTCTTTCAAGTCTAAACAGTACTTTTCTATCACGCAATAGGCCCGATGCTTTTCTAATAATAACCTTCTCATCTATATCACCATCACTTTGAACAATAGACCCGAGATATCTAAAATGTTCACCACTTTTGATAATTTGATCATTCATTGCCACATAAAAAAAAATTATCACCGAAAAACATACTTTCCTCAATGGTTTCTGGTAGGGGAGAAATATGGGAGTTTTGATGGTCTCTGTAAACCGCGATCCCGTCGTTGCCTTCCCAGCTAGCTCTAATGATGACTGTGCCTTGAAGGTTCATTCACGAAGGTGAGGGTTTTGAGAGAAACTGGGAGGGGGAAGAGAGACAAGCGAAGGTTTCATCAGAGAGGGGAGAAACCGAGAGAGGGGAAGGTCATAAGGGAGGGTTTAGGAATTGGGGGAGAAGAGATGAGGCGAAGTGTGGGAATCAAATTTAAGGGCATTGACGTTGGATTTGTGTCAGAACTAATTCGACACAATTAATCATGTGTTTGTGCCGACTTATTTGATGCAAATTACGTAGTAATCCAACATCTCTGTTTGACATTTTGAGTTTAGTATTTGTGTTGAATTGTTCGCTGCAAATCCAATGCAAAATCAGACGCAATTATATTTTCGACTCAGATCAGCTGAAAAACCGATGTTATTATTTGCATCAAACAAATTTGATGCAAATATAGGACGCTACTTTAAGCATCTCTTGCAATGATAAACAAGCCACCATAGCGGACACACCGTCTGAGGCACCCCAAATTAGGCTTGTGAAGTCTTGGAACACATATAACACAATAATTGAGGGTGTGTTCTATCCCCATATGGTGCATCAAAATATATCCAAAAGTAAGTCCTTCCCTACGGGAGTTTTATTATAAAAAGCATGTTGCAATAAGTCAACCATGGAGATACACATCAAACTCATGATGCCTAAAACATATGCAATCATCATTAAACATTTAAATAGAGAAGTACATGTTCATTTCAAGAAGTTGTTTCTTCATGGAAATAGAAAGAAGAATATCAAGAAAAAGAAAAATGACAAAGCAAGTGTAGCCTCTACGGGTTGGATAATCAATAGCTTTTTTGGATCGATCATCATTCTGCCTATTGCTCCCTCGGTACTGCAATTATGAGAAGAATGCATGGCTTCCTTCTCCACCTTTGAAGGCCTCCATACACCATTGAGCCATCATATCCTATTGTCGCTCAATGTGTCCAAGACAACTCGTAATGGAATCTAGCCACTCCAGAAGAGAGTCCATCTTCTAGTTAAGCTTGACAAACATGTTGGGAAAGAGGGATGCTACGGAGCCGCAGTGCGATTGAGAAAAAAATTTACACCTAAGCTCCTCTTAGGGATAGTGACTCCCTTTACAGAATGGGTGTCAAAATCGGTAGTCATGTTGCCCCAATCGCTCTCTGGAGATGGAGAGGAGCACAATTAGTTTCGGGCCCCATCACACAAGAGCGTTGTTGCATTAACCTTTTTTAGAATACAAACATTTTAGAAAGAAAAATGTGGCAGAGCTTTGCTACGAGGAGTTTGATTAATCATTGCTCCCGACCTTATTTTGGTGCTTAAAATGATGTGTGGGTCAATTGCGTGCTCATGCTGAAATACAATTCATCTCGAGAAGCATGCATACATTTCAAAGCTTTTCAAAAATGTCATTTTCAAATATCATATTGAAAACTATTAGTTATGCATGATTTAAGTGAGCCGCCTTTCCTATAGGGCAATGTTGTAAGTCCCACCTCTTAGTCTAATCCCTTTTATGAATGGACTGTAGTGGATAAGACTGAGCTCTTATTAGGTCAGTCTGATCCCTCTCCTAATAAGGACCGCAGTTGATAAGACTAACCACTTTTTGAATTATAAAATGAATAAATTCAAGCATTTTAACCCAATTCACCAATGATGGACATACTTATTGCACATCTTGATTTGGGGTTTCATCTCAGGAACTAAAAAAAAAATTAACCAAGAAAGTTTTAAAATATTTAATAAGAAAATCTATCATTAAAAAGCCTAAGAGTAAAATATATCCACCCTCCTCCAACCTTTGTTGAGGTGGAAACATCTCATGTTAAGTAGAGCTCACATAGAGCCAAATGTCATGTCAATTATATTATTAAATTCAGACTCAAAATAACTGTGCTAGTCAAGATATGGTCTGAGTCCTTAGTATTTGTGATTTGACCATTAGCCTCTACCAAAAAAGCAGTTATGACTAGAGCTCTCTGATCAGATGGTTTGACCAACAGGCTCCATCATGTGATTTGATAATTAGATTTTATTGTAAAATGATCACGATTTTGAGTGATGAATCACAAGATATATTTGAAAGAGTATGAAGTCCTATGATAGTACATGTTGACTTAGTTTAGTCCCCTTAGATAAATATTAATTATAGGTCTACAAGGCCCCCTTGGACGAATCAACCCATGATTATTGATAATGATCCTAATATCAGGTTGGGACGACTACCTTTTCTGGCTAATAGATTGGGGACAACGACACATCAGAATGACAAAACTATAGGATCTTGATCGGGTTCATCATCATTTCCCCTACCATTTGCTCTTAATCTCATAATGATGATTTCTAAAATTTTAAATATTAAACATGTTGCGGCTATACTCTGAGCAATCAACACCCTAATGACTAGCTTTAAACGAAAGTGCTCTCCCATCATTGGGAGGGGCAATTCCCATAGAGGCTTGCACCTATGAGAAACCTCGAATCGCAGGTCTTGAAGTCCTTGTAATTTGAGGGTGAAAACTTTAGATGATATCTTAT